AAAATCTGAGATGAGGAAGAATGCTGTAAAGATCTGCTAATAAAGATATCATACTCAGGAAAGCAGATAAAATAAGTGTCACTGGTGTAGACATTTGGTTTATTAACTGCAGAACTCAGTCTTAAGGCTCATCTGAATTTTGCCTCCAAATTTGTCTTGCTTCTATGGATATCAAATTGCCCAGCTGGCTCTAGCCTCACCTGAAACTTCTGGGTAGCCCTGTGGTCCTAAAAATTCAGAAAAACAAAACCAAAAATCCCATAGGCATCTCTGAAATTCATTGGCTGCATTGCAATACCCCACTTTCGTTTGTAAAAATCCATGAACTCAAACACTGCAGAAATGGAAGCAGCATTAGAGAAACCACTCTGTGTTGACACACAGCACACAAAAGATTTCTAAAGCATTGCTGTAAGGTGATAGAAAAGTAAATAACAAACATCCTCAAGGGTTCTTCCCAAGTGAATTGGCTCCATAGCTTTCTGTTCCTGCTCTCAGAGAGAGATGAAAAAAATTCCTTCAGAAGTAGCACCGTTTTCTCACTATGAAGATCTGTTTCATGAATTAGAAAGGTAAATAAATTCCACATTTTAAAAGTAAAAAAACCACCAGTGCCTTCCAGGATTTTCTCTACTGTTTCTTCTTAATCCATGCACTGCTCGTTGCCACTTTTTCCAGAAGTTTCATGGGAATCATGGTGTCACGTAACAGTAGAAATACATGATCTTCAGCTTTCTCAATTCCAAAAAATAACTAAGGCATGAGTCTGGAGAAATAGTCCCCAAAAACAATATTTAAAATTGGTGGTGGCTCTTAGCTGTTCAGTAACTTACAAGTTTATTTATGGAAGCCCATGCTAAGTTACTAAAGTTGATATTCAAAAAGCAAGCATCTGGTTTCCATCTGTCCTCATGGGAACCACGAAAGGACTTCAACAGAAAAATAAAATACTGGGGTGCAAAAGAGCAAGGTCTCTGGGAGGAAGGGATAAATATCATAACGAAATAATTCTTAACTATAAAACACATTTAATGTTTCTTAAATATATATATATATATATATGAAGAAAGAAAACATTAAATGGAAGGTAAAATCATATGTTATAAAAGGAGAATTTTTTAGTCATATGTAATAGGAAAAAATGAACAAAACATCTACAAATGGTATTTTAAAAATTGTGAAATGAAATTATAACTTTCATGCTAACCAACAAAACCGGTGTCCAGAGCTAATCAGTTTTAAAGACATTACCTGAACACACTTCCCAGCAATGGAAACGTTGAGAACCTCCAGCTGCGTACAGCAGGCAACCAAAGTTTTATCTATTTGTATTTAAGCAATCTCCAAACAAAGTGGACTTTTAATTATGACAGCTATAATACCAATTCCTTCAGTAACAAACGAGTGAATATATAAAAAACAGCATGTGATGTAGCCTTACACATGAAGAAAGGAAGCTTTTATTCTCCCCTCTTCAAGTATTGCACTGACATTCGGTTACAAAACAGCTAATTTGGTTTTTCAATCAAGATACATGCACAACTGCCTCTATAAACATGCCCCTTTAAGATGTGAATTAAATATGCCTTCCAGGCAAGTTACTTCTTGCACCTTAATTTCCTTCTCTTCATTTTTTCCATTCTGCACTAAAAATAGGGAAAGTCAAATAAAAACCTGAAGGGAGTTGTACCAAATTAAAATACCTATGATAAGGAAGTTGATCATAAAGACTTCTCACTTGTCTTTGTTGTGTATTTATGTAGATATATATATATATATGCAGATATAAAAGCTACAGCTATCTAAGTTTTACTTGCAAATAGCAATTGCTCTGTTCATTTTATTTAGTCTCTCACAAGCGAGTTGCATAGAAATCGCCATTGTGAGGCTGGTAGTGTACCCAGTAATTTTTTCCCATCTTGCCTTTATTTTTACTTCTCACTAAAGTCTCCATAAGCATGTTTACTTCCACATATTTGAAATCACATAAAACTGTATCAAATTATAACCAATGAAGGGTAAAGCAGGCATCCATAGATGAAAGTAGAGTACTTCCTACCATTTATCACAAAGGTTAGTAAGTATTACCACAAAAAAAAGCACCAAGTGGAAATATATTCAGGTTCCTATACTACCTTCACCAAACATGGACACTGCAAAAGCCATTAGCTCAAGCTGTAACACTCAGTTTTCCTGGCACTCACTAATCACTGTTTTCCTTTAAAATGGCAAAAAACTGGGGCATTATCTAGACATTTATATATGCTTTTAGGACTAACTTCAGCATTCTCGCACTGTAGCTATCAATTAGCAGAAGTTTTGTTTTTTTTTTTAATTTATTTTTTAAGAAGTTGTCTTAAGTTTTCTTATCAGTGGTATTGACAAATAATTTAGAGACCAATGCCGTTTCACATTCACAGCTTCTCTTTAATCTTGGAGAGGAGCAATAATGTCTCAGAATACTCTATGTAGTTTTGAGAGAAGAGGTAGGAATAGAAGAATGTAATTATGGAAATCCCTCAGTATTAAAATCTTAGCTCACCACCCCATTTATAGCCACAAGCCATTCTTCCCATGGGCAAGCAGTATCTGCAGCTAGCGTGAGTCTATCCAACTCTGCAAAGCACTTTTTTCCAGACTAAAAAGAATAAACAAACCAACAAAGCAAATCCCTCACAGGCAGGAGAGCTGGGAGTGCACTGCCCATGGCTTTGGTTTCATGAGATCCAAGCAAAATTAGAAACAGCTGAGCCCATGGGACTGCAGAGAAGCACCACCTCAAGACAGGACATCCGTCCCACTCCCAGATACTGGGGCTGAGGCTATTTCTTTGATCTCTGATTGTCTGATCCCAACTCAGCCTTCAGCTGTCAGGTAGCAGGCAAACCCATGAGTCAGTTCCTGGGCAAGGTAGGAAGGGTGAGAACAGGAGACGACTGGGTTAACTCATGATTAATTCAATTTTTAAATCACAGCAGCCATCTCTGTGCCCAACAAGGCAAGTTACTGCCTGAATGGGACACACCTGCTGTTTCTTTCTGATATCTGATATTAACCTCACCAATTGATTTAAAATGACAGGCAAAAGTGGGTCAAACCTCACTCATGGTTTCCTGCAGTTGTGACTCAGTGGACTCCTGGAAAGTGAGGCATTTCCAAATGACCTGCTTGCCTTGTTAAAAACCCAAAAAATAATGACACACTAATGTGTATGATTCCACTGGTGGGTTGTTTCATCAAGAAACTCTTAATGCCAACTTTACAAGTTTCACTGGAGAAAATGCCCCAGGCATGAACCACACCATAAGATAATCCTTTCTTCAGAGGCTGAGCAAAAGGAATCGCTCATTAAGAACAGCTAAAGACCAAAGCACAGCAGGACAACAGACAAAAAAAGAATCAGCAAGCAGGGCTGAAACTGTACCCTCTCAGAAAAGAGAGCGTTCACACACAAATTCAACTACATGTCTTGTAATGTTGTGTACCACCACCACCACCCATGACGTTCCTCAGACTACAGCCATGTCCTTTTTTTTTTTTTTAATTTTATTTTCATACTCTCTGACAGGGATGTTCCTTTTCTTATTGAAAGGAAGGATAACTTGTTCAGAAAGGTAGCAGAAACTGGTGAGGCAATATTGATATGGGGCTCAACCAACACTCACTGTAGAACTGCGTTGCTGAAGGAAGGCACAGCAGCAATCAGCAGGGTACAATGGCGGTTATTTTGCTCTTCCTGCTTCAGTTCCAACAATGAGCATGTGAGCATTCCGCTCCACTTTTCCAACCTCTCCCAGAACATAGCCCCATGCCCTAAGAGCAATATGCTGAAATTCAAGAAGTTTTAGGAACAAGCAGATTGGCCCAATCTATAGTGGTAAATGCAGTTCACAAAGGGAAGCTGCAATTTTGTACAACTGCACTACCACTTTGGGAACCACCTCTGACACCAAGCTGCAGTATTTTCATCTGTGTAACTCAAGGGCTGACTGAAAAAAAAAAAAAAAAAGAAAAAATCCATCATTCAGCAGCAGAGAGATTTTGCTGCAGGTACCCAATAGACATGTGCCAAAGTCAACTATTTACCAAACCAGCAGAATTCCAGGAACTGGACAGTGTTGTACTTCACTTTTATCTACACTAAAACCGAACACCCTTCCCCAACCAACATCCAATGCACAGTTCAGCTTTGTGAAACAGTGGGTATTTTACCTTGCTCTATTTCACTGCTTTTTGTACCTTAACTCTGCGCATTTTCTAATGATTTACTCGCAGCATCAACTTATTAACCAAAAACAGGTTCAGATCTTCTACTAATAGTGTTGTTATGCCTCCTAAGATTCCCCCTAGTAGTAGGTTCCAAAATACTTTATAAAAAAAAAAGAAAAAAAAAGTTGTTTTAAACAAGTGCTAGCAAATAGTCATTATTTGAAGTAATGCAATCTCATTGCAATTTTTTTCAAGAAACTTTCATCACAACATACTTCAACCAAAAGTACTGCTGGCCTCTGAAAGGCCTGGTATGCCACATTAGCTGCTACTGACTGCTTCCACAGTGTCATTCAGCTTATTTTTTAAAATTCCAGCAATATGTAATGGAGTAAGTGGAAGTGTAGGAACAAAAATAACGTAGGACCTGACACAAAAAGTACCCTCAGTCAACTAGAAGAGAGAGAAAAAAGGCTGGTCAGGTTTATTTTTAATAGAAAACTATTAACAAAACTGAAGTTCAAGGAGTAGCTAGACATCATACAATGTGGAAGAGGTGACATGAGGTTGGCAAAGATCTCTGCTACTCAAGTAATTACCAACTGGTATGTTTTCTGAAATGCTATAAATCAAGATATTTCAAGTTACAGTAGTGTATCTTCAAATGAAGGCCATTTAACTCCAAGCACTTTGCCAAACTCCTTACATGGTTTTAGCCTCCAAACATCTGCTATCATAATGATTAATTCTCCTTTTTAAAAAAAAAAAAAAAAAAGAAGAAGCTTCCTTACCTTTGCAAAGTCATATTCAGATTGCCTGTACATGCCTTGATCTTGTTTTGTGCTTCTAGATGAGTCATCCCGTCTGTACTTATCCCATCAATGGTGAGAACCACGTCACCGATCCCCACGTGTGCTCGGGCTGCTTTTCCACCGTCGTTAAGCTGAAATGCCACAAGAAGGGCAAATGAGAGACTTAAATACGTTATGCTTATATTCTCTGAACAAAGGAAAATAACTTATATGATGTTTGGTCATAAAAAATGGAAAAAGTTTGAGTTTCTTCTCTATAAGCTTGTTTTTGTGGATGTTGCAGTATATGTACCATCTTTTCGGTGAAGCATTGTTTATAAATTCATGTTTTTATTTCATGTTAATGACAGGAAAAGCACTGCATGGTATTATCTATTTTTCAAAACCACACTCCTCATTGACTGGATGACAGCTATGCACATTCACCTAGAAAGGCAAGCAGGGATAGGCTCATAAAATTTCCTGGTTGCAGGCTTCAGTCTATTATCTCTTCACATCTGAGATTTCTCACATGGGTGAAAGAAAGGCTGTAAGTCAGGTTTTTCAATTCTAGTTTTTCAATCTAATCCATCTCCTCAAAGTTTATGCATTTGTCAATAGTTGGTTATACATATGAAAGTCTTTATTAACGGTGAAGCTATATTTCCCCCCAAGATGCAACTACAAGAAAGTCAAAAGTTCAGCATTACAGACAGGCCAGTTACAGAATTTTGTTTTGATTCATTCTTGGTTCATAGCTGCAGTGACCCGCAGTATATTCAAAACAGAATAAGAAAGGCTTCTTGAAACTCTTTGATCAAGGTCACTGCTGAAGTTCAGCTCAGCTGCCTTTGGTCCACTTTAATGAAGCACTCTAACAACAAAAACTTTTGTAAAGATCATGTTACTGACTCTGACTGAACAATAAATTAACCTTTTCATCTGATGCCACCAGCTTTATTCCCAAGGACACACACACACACACACACACACACACACACAAAAAAAAAAAAAAACAAAACAAAACAACAGCAATCCATGGTAAGATTTACATACTGATTTATACTCATGGTCCTCAATCTGTTGAGCACTTTGTAACTAGCTATTGAAAACAGTCCCACATGGTGCAAATTCCCTCTTTGTACTCATATTTCTCTCTTACAGCAGACAAGCTTTTACTTTTTGGCCGTGTATGTAAAACCCCACGTCTACTTTGCATGCAAGTATGAGTCGGTTTCTTGAAGAAATCACTACTTCTAGGGAGGTACTGCAAGTAACACAATTACTTTGTCTTCATTTCCAAAACTATGGCCCAAAGAGAACTCCAATTGCTGTAAATCAAGCAGCTGCCAAAGGGAAAGCAAAATGAAGGCCCTCATCTGAGTTGCCTGCGGTCTCTCCTGTACTGCATCCAGCAGCTATCAGGAAGTTACGCCTTTCAACAATGACAAATCACTAATCTACCCCTCATTTACTTTTCCAACAAGAGAAACAAGGCTAGCTCTTGAAATCAGTCTGTGGCAAGGGGATACAAACACATTGAATATGAGAGACTCACTTTTTGTATTTGTATACGAACAGTGACACAAGGAAGAATGTCACCTCTTAATAAACCCGTGGGAAGTACACCATCAGCCTATCAGATGTGGTTATGGCTTTCCTAAAATCTCAGGGATGATGCACAACAGCTAGGATGTACATCTGACAGCATCTGAAGACACTTTTGCATAATGCTACAAGGAAAATGCAAATGCAATAGCCCCCAGACCTCTTAATTTGACAACATTCACTGAAAGCAGAAGCTTTTACATTTGGTGGGCCGCAGCTCACACTTTCCCACATCAGTCTCTATCACACAGATATTTGAAGTAGCGATCATCAGCCACTCAAAACATTAGTCAAAAACTCAAATAAAACCTGATAAATCTTCCAGTTTGGTGTTAGTTTTATGAAATGCATTATCTTTGTGAAAGGTGAAGCAGGAGAAGTAGGAAGACTTATAATCTCCTAAGGTTCAAAAGAGCAGTTTGTCCCTCACCGTGACAGGTCAACACAATTATTTTACCCGGAGATGAAACTGAAGTATGCTAACAAATGGAAGGCAGCAGAGCAAGTTTCACGCAAGCAAGACTAGGAGAAAAAAGGAAAAAAATGATGCTCTTATTTTTGAAAGCTTCTGGACTTGCTACATTACTCAGAATTATGATTTCTGTGGTAAAACAATTTCCAAAAGGCTTCAACATCAAACTCAGAATTTCTCCAAAAAAATTGGTGTTCAGACACAACTTTCAGTGAAGAGACCTAATGACGATAAAACCCAGTTCAGGGAATCCCATTAGCATGCAGAAAGCTATGACCAACATAGTTATTTATAGAGAAGATCCTTAAATCTTGGCGGGGGGAAAACCACAGTAAACAGTTCTCTAAATCGCTACATTACAGCAGGCTGACATTTGTCAGCAACGTCTGCAAAAGGGAATGGAACGTCAGGGCATTAAAAGCTAAAGGTCAGAAGGATCACCATGCCTAGTAGCTGGACTGCTGAAGTTAATAAAAATCCAGCTTTCTCAGAATATACGTAAATGGGCATAATCCACATATGATGTAATTGGTGATGAAAAGAGCAACCTAGAAGCATGTAAGCAGCAAAACATCAAAAAGCAGGCTTCAGAGTGAATATTTCCATTGGGGAGGCGTGCTTATGATCTGGAAAAGTGTAAAGTAAAACAAAAAGAACACTTTTTTTTTTTGTCTAATTACAGTGCCAACACATAACAAAACAGAGTCAGAGTGATATTTGAAGAGGCCACTCTTAAATATTCCTCGTCTTGTAACGAAGTTCTCTGTATGCCTTAATGAGAGGGAGCTGCAAAATTGTTTTTCAGAAGTGAGCCCTGGGCAAAAATTCATTAAAAATGTCACTGAGAAGTCCATCTTGGGAAGAAAGCAGCACGTTCCAGAAAGCAAGGTAAGCTTCTGTCTGTGTCCATGAGACCTGGTGGGCAGGCAAGGAATCGAATCTGCCTTAGAGATGAAGAGATCACAGACACGACTGAATTAACAAATTACTGGACTGTTAATGGCTGAACCATGCAGGCAGAGGGATGCCAGTGCACTAATCTCCTTATCTAGACAGAGTGGATAAAACTTCCAAATAGCACTCACTGATTTGGGATCAGAGATCTGACTAATGAGAGGAGAGGTTGGTACTTCTAGGAAATCTCAGCTCAGCATGACTCTGCCCTGGCAGTGCCCGCCAGCATCCCTGGTTCATCAAGCATCTGTTCATCTCATACTGAAGCTACAGAGCAAGCTTTGCCACAGATACTGAAAAGAGCAATATACTCAGAGCATACAGAGCATCAACAGATACCTAAATAAAAATAAACATCTACACTGAATACATCAGTAGGAACTCAAACACTGAAAGAGTTATGGACTGCAGATGTATTTTTACTTCCAGGAACCTCAGTTTTGACATCTCTTTATTTCTCTAACAGCACATTACCATTACAAACAGTAAGTTCATACACATATTGAGATTTGTGTACATATTACTGTGTAAGTACCCAAACCAAAAATAAATCGAAGATTCCCTACATATTCCTCACCACTAACTCCAATTATTTCTGTTTTTAAACTCAGAACTTGAAAAAATCCAACTGATATTGAAATTCTACAAAAAAATAACATAAAAATATAGGTGCTAATATATAAGAAAACCTGGAGCGCTATTCATAAATCATATCTACTTTTACACAGCACTTGTCTTGTATGAGTGGTTTGGTCTTTATACCGCACATTTAACTTTAGCTATGAAGTTAGTAAAATGAGCCTGCATCAGTCAGAGGTGAACTACAGTGTTACATATGCTTAAAGACCAAAATACCAATAGACTGATGGGCAAAGAGCCAAAAACTAATGCAGAAATCAAACAAATTTCTAAGCAGCACAAACATCCTTGCAATCCTTTATGAATCCGTTTTTAATTCTGCATTTACAATATGAGTTTTTAAAATTTTTTAAATCAAGTATGAATTAGGGATGAAAAAAAAAAAAAGTTTAGTTTTGTTTTTGATGTTACATAGAACACTTCTAAAACCATGAAACTGCCAATATTTGCTCCTACTGAGCTCCATTTCCATATTCTTTGGGAAGTAAGGAGGCAAGCAGGAGAGACATTTCATGACCAGGCACCTGCCGAGGCCAATCATCCCCACAGCCCTGGCAGCAAACCTCCTCTCAGCCTCACAGCAGCCCCCAGCTCTGTGGTTGAAAGTCAAAACCCAGTCTATGCCATCCACACTCTGGACACTTTCTAATAAACACTTATAAAATCATCCATCTAATATTAGACTTCAGCTTTGTTTGATCTCCAAGTTCTTTTCATTGCTGTTGTTTTTAAACAGCAGAATTTCCAAGCTGCAAACATTGTTCTAATCTACGTTCCAAACTAAGATAAAACAAAAGTAAACTAGTTCTTGATCCAGGATGAACTTCAAAGGCAGTGGAAAGTAATCCCAGCACAGTTCTACCCTTCCAATTTCTAAAAGCAAGCAGGCCAAATCACACTGCAATAAAGCCACTTTGTTGAGCTAAATTTTAGCTCATCTTTTATCATTTGTTTTTTTAATAAACAGCATTTAAAAAAATAAAAAAGGAGATGAGAGGGAGAAAAATAAAAGTACCTCTTTTGCTTTCCAGAGATATTTTAAGATAATATTCTTTTCAGGAAAATTGTATGTGCACACATACATGCACACCTATCTCTAAATCAATGCAATTTGTAGTTTAACTCATTCCTAATTAGCTTATAACCATTTGTTTTCCCTCACATGACTATGAAGAAAGCTTGACAAACATCTCTCATTTGGGCCATCCTGTTACTTAGCTTTTATGCAGTAACAAATGAAATACCTAGACTACAGTTATCCATAAGACAAAGGGCTATATACAAAGATGGATGCTGCCTTTTGTCTTTCCTATACTACCTGCCCTGAATCAACTGTAGCTACCAGCAGCTTGCCTGGTGCTGCATCACAACCACTTTGCCAGAGACTATTTTGTAGTCCAACAGCAAATAATGCTTTCCCTGATGATGCAAAAAAGCCTTCAACATCAGATGTAACTTCCACACTCCTAGAATGGAATT